ACCTGTTGAGTCTTAAGTTCATATGCGATCTCTCTCAAATGTAATTTTAAGACCCTTTTTTATATGGAGTAGGCCGTCGCGGGTAGAAGGGTCACCCCCCAGGCGAGTCAACTTTAGCGAGCGTTTTACTACGAGAATTAAAAGTTGACCAGTCTTTGCCTGAGCCAACAGTGCTCGCCCAGGCTCTGATTTCCTCACCAGTGACCGAGCTGACACGGCTGAGGGGCGAGCCGCAGTGTTTATATTGAGAAAAGTTGTGTCGGCTAGGAGGGTGATCTTACCATCGCAAAAGGGTGACAGGGTAGGCGGGTTTACCTTCTAGCCGAGCAAACTTTTTGTTTCTCATGTAAACGGTTGCCCTGACGCTTTGTAAGGAAATGTATGAAAAGTTGGCTCGCACAGGGTTCTGAATATTTTTTAAACCCATTTTTACACGAATCGGCCTTCCGCCGAGAAAAACCGATAGTGGTCAGTGTTCGTAGCAGTCAAAAGAAAATGAGGCATGAACGCAATTGCAAAGCCCTGCTCAGATTAAAACTCCCAGCTATTCTGAACCATCTTACGAATGAATGGTTTTTTAAAATTTATTCTTAGTTGTGATTTAGCCAATGTTATTCAGTCCCTAACTTGCCGCTCGAAGCAATCACTCAGTCGCCCAAGATGTGCCATTTTCAAGCATAGCATCAACAAGTAGTTTTCAAACCTAAAGAAATTTATTGTTCCCGTTCACCACTCTTTAAAGTTAAAACGGGTTCTATTACTATACAAAGCCCAATTTTCCATTTGCCCAGCGTAAAAAAATATAAAAGGCGTTAATAATATTTAGAAAACATGTCTCTCTTAAAATCGGCCGTCATAATGAAAAAGACCGATTTTCCTGAATTTTAGATTTGGAAAAACAGTCTTTATGCTTCCCTAATTTCCTTCTTTTTAGGCTCAAACTGTTGATACATCATTGGTCTCCAATGAGGGTGGAGAAGGGGTGAAGGGGGGTGGGGAGTACATCTTGGGGCTGCCCGAAGTAAATACAACAACCTATGGACTTAAATGTCATTATTATTATTGTGACATTATTTGTTTCTTTACTTTGACTTACCATTAAGCGATGTTAAGCGAGTGACTAGTGTTGTGGTATCGACATTTCTATCATTTAAGCTAGATTAATAACGGTTTTTGAAGGGAATCGGTCAGATCGGTTTCGGGATGCCGTTAGATAGCTGGTGGCGAGTTTTTTCTGGTCCGATCACTCGACCAAGTCGATCTTTTAAAAAGCATCGACTTGGTAGAGAAGAGGCCAATGAAACGCCAAAGAATCACAAAGAAATACCAAACTGACAAATGAAGCGAGACACAAAAAAATAAAGGAAAATTAGAATAGTTGCTGTGTAACAACTAACTACTCGGACTTAACCTTTTATGTTTTAGAAGTGATTTTACTTGTATAATTTTACCCGTGAAGTAGCTAGGTAGTAGGATATTACGCACTATTAATGCACTAATTTCATCGTTTTATTTTGTTCACTTGTAGCTAATTTTGCACTAGTTGTTGGTCTCTGTTTAACGGGTCAAGTGAAGTCACTCTAAGAAGGGCTTAGCTATCTAAAAGTCTCTCTCTTTATGGACAATCAGCAGTTTGTACCGCTGAATATCAATGCTAGATGGCTTTTTATTCTGAATAAGCGAACTTTGCTGAAACGCATACTAGTTATTTCAATAAATACTTGACATTAAATATGCGCCATTCACCGCGATAATTACATCTTAATGTATCCATAGCCAAAAACAAACCTTGAAATAGCATTTCCGAGAACTGTTGCATCAAAAGATTTCTAGGGGTGTATACCTCCAACACTAGAGGCAAAATCTCCCTCTGTGTGTGCCCTGTATACAAGCTTAACGCCCCTGTTTGATATACCCGTATTATACCATTAAATTGACAGATTTAAATAATCTCTCTTTTGAAAACTTGGAATAAATACCTCTTATTAGCCGAGTCTTCGATTCGTACTTTAAATTACGGACCGTGTTTCTTTCCATCGATTTTTGGCCCTAAGCGCGAAAATCGATGGAAAATTTAATTAGAAAAAAAAAACTCGGTCCTTAATTTAAAGTGCGGACCGAAAAATCGAGGCTAATAAGATGTCTATTATATGGCTTCCTGTTTGGGAGAACGGAAACAAGTGCAGGACAAGCGATTTGACATTCATTTAACAGGCGTCAGAAAAAGAAAGTTTTAATTGGGTCATAGAATTAATAGCACATTATAAAAAGGCTAAATTTTCCATTGAAAGTAAATTTAAATCAAAATGCAAATGCGCTATCCTACTCCTCAAGCGCTTCGTTTTTCGCAAGGTAGAGGCGAGCGACTGGTGATGAACCGCAAGGGACCATGGCAAGGGTACTAAAGGCAGGCGAAGCGACNTCTCTCTCTTTATGGACAATCAGCAGTTTGTACCGCTGAATATCAATGCTAGATGGCTTTTTATTCTGAATAAGCGAACTTTGCTGAAACGCATACTAGTTATTTCAATAAATACTTGACATTAAATATGCGCCATTCACCGCGATAATTACATCTTAATGTATCCATAGCCAAAAACAAACCTTGAAATAGCATTTCCGAGAACTGTTGCATCAAAAGATTTCTAGGGGTGTATACCTCCAACACTAGAGGCAAAATCTCCCTCTGTGTGTGCCCTGTATACAAGCTTAACGCCCCTGTTTGATATACCCGTATTATACCATTAAATTGACAGATTTAAATAATCTCTCTTTTGAAAACTTGGAATAAATACCTCTTATTAGCCGAGTCTTCGATTCGTACTTTAAATTACGGACCGTGTTTCTTTCCATCGATTTTTGGCCCTAAGCGCGAAAATCGATGGAAAATTTAATTAGAAAAAAAAAACTCGGTCCTTAATTTAAAGTGCGGACCGAAAAATCGAGGCTAATAAGATGTCTATTATATGGCTTCCTGTTTGGGAGAACGGAAACAAGTGCAGGACAAGCGATTTGACATTCATTTAACAGGCGTCAGAAAAAGAAAGTTTTAATTGGGTCATAGAATTAATAGCACATTATAAAAAGGCTAAATTTTCCATTGAAAGTAAATTTAAATCAAAATGCAAATGCGCTATCCTACTCCTCAAGCGCTTCGTTTTTCGCAAGGTAGAGGCGAGCGACTGGTGATGAACCGCAAGGGACCATGGCAAGGGTACTAAAGGCAGGCGAAGCGACGCCTCGCCCGTTGTCTCCTTTGCGCCTTCCTTTGCGCGCACATTTTCATCGAGAGAGAGACGTCTGGGTACGAGGCAGCAAATGCGACATATTGAAATAGTTTATTCGGTCAAAACTAAGAGCACTGTAAGTATTCGCTGGCCGACGTGACGCTGGAGTCCTTTGAAAACTGGACATTGTGTCTGGCTCGAAGTCGCTTCCATCTTTCGTTGGTCTCTGGAAGCGTCTTCTTAATTCGATAAGATTACGATTCGGTTTCTTCATCGCCGGCTTCGTTCACAAATAAACACAGGTTAAAATGTTGGAGGATCCAAGTCCTCATGCTTGACAGACGTTTCATAACCTTCTTCAAACCTTTTTTTTTTCGAGATGAAGAGATTTAGAGCTGCGAAATGAGCATTTGCTTTTGAAATTTTGGTCCGTATAGGAACGTACCGACCGCAAATTGACCTATCGCACGGCGAAAACAGACTTAGCCATATAATAATGATTATTATTATCGAGGTCTTTTTCTTGGTTCTGATTGTTTGAACCAATGAGAAACAATTGAAGACCAGCCTTCTAGTTTCATTTTTTGGCTCTAATCTAATATGTTTAAACCTTAATTAAAATACGGCGGAATCGTTGTCTTCATTTACAAGGTACAAGGAATTTCCCCGTGCTGTCCTTCTAGCCAGCGACATGCACACAGCTCCAATCTTTGTTTAGCAACGTCTTCATATTCTTTCCATTGTTTTTCTCGGGCAATTCTGAGGGCCTCCCTTGATGGTTCAATTCCTGATGGAGAGGGAAAAGTTTGATTCAGTGTAATATAATTATACCTCAAATAAGGGGTTAATGTAATTTTAAGCGACATTCTTTGCACTTATTTCAATTTTGGTGCAGTTTTAATAGCTTTGTTTATTTGTTTGTTTGTTTGTTTTTTTAGTTATTTAGGGGTTGTTTTATTCGACCGGCAGGACTGTTATATAAACTACTGAGGCTGGTGTCGACCAGTAAAAGTGCTAAGGAAAGTTGTGTTATTTTTATGTTATCAATGAGATCGCTCAGAAATTAACCAATGGTTTCATATAATCAGAGTTTTTTCTTGCGAAAATGACTGTCGACTTTGAATCTGTAAATTAAGTACCTTGATCAAAGTTCTTTGTCCTTATGAAGAAATCAGTCTTGACGATGTCGAAGCTTAGAAGTGCTTTCTTTAGATAAAATGACAAAAGTCCCTCTTCAATTTCCGTAATCAAATGAGATGCTTTGGCCACTTGTTCCTCAGGCACCGATTGCTGGAAATCAAGATTTTTCACATGTCTCGAAGACTTGACATAGAAAGCGAGCCGTCTGTTTTTAGCTCTTATTTGAAAACGATTAGTTATGGGGCGGCTTTCAGCGTCTAAATGGCGTTCGATATCCTGGAAGCAGTTCTCTGCAATGGTCTCCTCATTTTCAGAGATTCCAACTCTAGCGGATTTCTCTACATAAAACGAGGCCAAGAAATATCTGTTTTCTGCTGTTTCTTCACCTGCAGCACATGGTAGTAGCAGCTAAAAAGTAAAGGAAAGAAATTAATTAATAACTCATCGCATGACGGATATTAGTAGTGCAGGAGACTGTAAGTTTAGCAAAACACGTTATACCAGAATACTATTTAATTTTGGGGTTTAGCCCAGTATTCCAGTATTCAAGAGGATCTTCGAAAGATTTGCACCTAGCTACGCATCAAATTATTTTCTTTCGATTCTCACCTCTACGGAATCGTGGAGTAATTCCTCAGCCTTTTCATATTGCCCTTCCCTACGGGCAAGCGCTGACTCTACGTATTTCAGTTTAGCTAGCAGATAACAGTGATTGGTCGAGTGATATGTCCGCGATATGAGCAGTGCGTTCTTTGCGTGCGTCTTTGCCTCTTCGATGCGGTTCTCGTGTAAGTCCAGTAGGGCCAGCTAAAAAGAAGGAAAGAAAGTGGAGTTACGGTGATATAACCCCGTCAAAGTTGCTACACTGACAGGAGAGGTCACTGGCGGTCTAGTACCGGATGATATTTAGAAGCACACCATCCCTCGGATAAATCACTATCCAGCGGATAAGTATTTGGGAAATCAATTGCCCGCGTTATCCACTGGATATACATTTATCCATCGGATACTGCTATCCACCTTTTGAAGAACTGGGGTTTGGTGTGGTTCAAGGGAATAGGGGAGAGGGGGTGAGACTGCAACTGTTTTAGATGTGTGACAATATTTTTGGAACGATTCCACTATTACGTGGTTAGCTCTTCAAGGTAATAAAATTATTGTAGGATATGCCACTTTTGGGTAGCTGTGATAGCATTTAAAATTGAGGCCAACTTTTACTTTACTTGGGCTTTACAATGTGTCAGCCGAACAATGCGGGATCTTCAAACAAAATAGACTACATGAAAGTAGGTTAGATATCATGGCTGCTCAAAGTAACACGATAATTATAAAAATACACACCTCATATAATAGCAGTGGGATCAAATCTGTGAACTTCGGATGTTTGTCAGCGAACTTGTCAAGCTCTTTTAAATTCTCCATGAAGATTTCTCGCTTTCCTTGGAGAAATAAAATTTTTTCGTAAGCCTTCAAAGCAGGCGTTTTCAACCTCGTTACCAGTGACCCTTCTATAGGCAAGAGTAGGATAGGAATCTACAATGTAGAAACGAGGTTGAGGTGCCTTTTTGCTCGAACAGAAAAATATGACTGTTACTTACCATCATCTGCTTGGCGCTGAAACCACTTGACAACATCCATTCCCTTGTTACTGGCCCACACACCTGGCAACATGAACCACTTAAAATATCATGCAACTAAAAATAGCTAGCCCCATGTAATGGAATCCAAGACTGTCTTGGATTCTGGATTCCAAAGCCCTGGATACCGGATTTGACAAGGTAAAATTCCCAGATTCCGGATTCCATAAGCAAGCATTTCCCGGATTCTGGAATCAGGATTCCCTTATATGGGTCGTTGCTGCAGAAGTTACATCTACCTAACAAAGACTAAAAGAATCAAGGTCTTTGAAATGTTCAGTTAATTAAAAGAGGAATTAATAATCGCTTTCCCTAATTTCTTTCCTTTTCCCGTTGAACGTCCGTTATACGCTAGCTGGTAGCAATTGTAATGTCGCACATCCCGCTTTCTGATTTTTTTTTTGTGCGTGGTTGTAGAATCGTGCAATCGACGCGCTGTACATATAATCAAACTCAACTCTACCCCACTAATTTCTAAAGCATGCCAATCTCGACAGGTTGGTTTCTCAAATCAGGTATTTGGTACTCTTGCATCAACTTCACTCATCTATCCTAGTTTACAACCTCAAAACCCCACTGTTTGAAAACACACATTTTCACACTAGCATTAACCTTGAGGTCTGATCTTCCTAATGGGATGTTCAATTGCAGGGCCTTCCTGGTACTCTTCCAGCCAAGGTCCAGGAACGTGGATCTTTCGCTCCAGGCAAGACACAAGGGAGTGTTGAGCTCCTTCAACCGAATAAAGCTGCACGGTGTGCGTAAAAATCTGAGGTCTTGTAGAAGGAAGTAGAAGGGTAACAACTCCTGTAGAACCGCGTAGATGAGGAGAATTGTAATCATCAGCTTTAGTGAAGATAAATGCACTTGGTGAAATGTGGAGTTTCAGGACATAAGTTCCATTATTCTAGCAAGAAGATAATAACAACGAGACCATCAATCGTTTAGGCCCATTTTACTCTCGGTCGGACGAGCAAATTCATAACTGCATCGTGGTACATGTTCGGAGTTGGAGGCCGGGGTGCAGGGGATTGTTACAGTCCCCGTGCCACCGCCCGCTGTTTCGAACTACAGAAAAATCCTGATTTCACGAACCTTAAGCTAGTTGAACCTCCCCAAACAACAACAACAAGAACAAAGTGAAATAAGCAAAGAACTCTGCATTGAAATATGCTTGCTATCACACATGACTTACAACATCAAAGCCAGCTGCTGTTGGAGACATGGCACAGCTCCAAATTTCCATATCGGGAACTTTCACAATCTCCAGACGGTTTTGAATCGCCACATAAGGACCAGAAAGAGGATATTGAGGAATGCTTGTCCACGACAGGTTAGGTACACCCAAGGCATTTGACTGTAGATAAAATTCTGCGGGCAGGTTGACTCGATGGGAGTGTGTTATCATGGTGTCTAACTCTACTCCCATCATGATCCTAAAAACATATATTGAGAAAAAAAATGCCTTTATTTTTGCCTAGATCAAAAACGCACGATCAGAAAGTTCTACCGAGGGTGAAAACGTTGAGTGGAACTCAGAGGAGACACGCCTCGCGCAAAATCTCACGCCAACGCTTCGCCGCCTCGCGCCTTGAGAGAAGAAGAGAAAATGTAGTTATATGTCGTTGTTTCTCCGAGCGACGCTCTAAGGAAGGGAGAGCGACTGAGCGACCTGGAGCGTCTGAGAATGGGGCTAAACATTTCCTCAGGCTGAATGATATACTAATTCTCGTCGCCAGGACCTCTCTTTATATATCTATTCATTCATTTTTTTGCTCACGTGGTCTTGCGTTACCAATAATGGTCTTCAAAGTATGAGCGAGTGCAACAAAGTGAATAAGATCAATAGGTCAATGCGAGAAAGTTGCGAGGGATTTTTTCAGACGCAGTCAAGTAATTTATCGACATTTCAGTGCGAAATATACATTTTAAAAGAGAGTTTTCAACAAGATCTTTATTCTGTTCCGTAAGAGTTAAAATCTGGTATGTTCTGTTTACTATATTGACATGACAACGGATACAAACAATAAATTAAACTTGAAGGCGTCACACGTATACCGAAATATAATCTAGCCAAATAGTTAGTACATTCGTGGCGCTTTCGCTGTGAATTGTATCCAAAACCTACTTTAATTTATGATAAAACGAATTCATTCAAAATATTACAGAAATGATTTTGACAATAAAGACATTAAACGTTTTATAAATACGCTCGTTCACTTTCACTTAACTGGCGGACGGGCGAATATGTAAACTTGATGTTGATCAGAAATTCAATCTTCAAATACTAACAAATCATTCTACTTTTTTTCAGTGAACTGAAGCGACCCGATGATTCGAATTCCCGCTTTCCCTATAGTCAAACATTGTAATTTTAGCCCTGATGTTTCGAGCAACTCCCGATAATTCACTAACAAATTTCCTGTTCATCTGTTCATCGGGGGCCATTTTGCTATACTGATCCCGAATATTTTAGTGCAACATGACTTAAGCCAGAGATTAAAGGTGCCGTAGAAACGGAACAAATACAAGAAAGAGATACATGGGACTGACAGGGGTGTGATTGGGGGCTCGTCTTTCATATAATAGTGTTTTTGTTTAGGTTATTTGTTTCGTCCCTCTCTACAAACTGCTTGAAAACTGCGGTATATGATCACTTGATCGATCTCATTTTCAAGTATTAAATACAAAAACGTTTAAGATTTAATAGCTGGTATCTAAATGCTGTTTCTAAGATCAAAATGCACAAGATACTGGAGAATTTTACTGTCATTTAAGTTTCTCCTAGAGCATGACGAAAGCCGTCATGAAAAGTCCACTTCTACAAATTGTCAAAAAATAACACATTAGTATGTATTAAATAACCCGTTCATGCGATTGATGTTACCTTTTCTTGTTATCGCATATATCGCTCACTGACTACGCAACTTCTATCCGCATCCAATCGTTCCAATATGTCTTGAAGACGAAGTATTGGCGCAGGCAAAAATATATGCAAATAGAATATGAAAATAAAATATGCGTGTCGGGGAATCCCCAAAACTGAAGTTAGAGGTGACTTAGCAGCCGAAAGCGTGCAGTATCTCATGCATTCCATTAAGTCCTGGCGTTTGGGTTAGAAATCAAATGAAAGGAACCATTTGTTTGGTCTGTCCGGAATACTCAGGACCGTCCTCGAAGGTGGTCCATTTTATCCGGTTCTACTGGTCGGACCGAAATGTCNTATTTGTTTCGTCCCTCTCTACAAACTGCTTGAAAACTGCGGTATATGATCACTTGATCGATCTCATTTTCAAGTATTAAATACAAAAACGTTTAAGATTTAATAGCTGGTATCTAAATGCTGTTTCTAAGATCAAAATGCACAAGATACTGGAGAATTTTACTGTCATTTAAGTTTCTCCTAGAGCATGACGAAAGCCGTCATGAAAAGTCCACTTCTACAAATTGTCAAAAATAACACATTAGTATGTATTAAATAACCCGTTAATGCGATTGATGTTACCTTTTCTTGTTATCGCATATATCGTTCACTGACTACGCAACTTCTATCCGCATCCAATCGTCCCAATATGTCTTGAAGACGAAGTATTGCGCAGGCAAAAATATATGCAAATAGAATATGAAAATAAAATATGCGTGTCGGGGAATCCCCAAAACTAAAGTTAGAGGTGACTTAGCAGCCGAAAGCGTGCAGTATCTCATGCTTTCCATTAAGTCCTGGCGTTTGGGTTAGAAATCAAATGAAAGGAACCATTTGTTTGGTCTGTCCGGAATACTCAGGACCGTCCTCGAAGGTGGTCCATTTTATCCGGTTCTACTGGTCGGACCGAAATGTCCCTTTCCGGCGTTTGACAAAATTTTGTCCCCAGTACCGCTCTCCTACTCCTGCTTACAAGTACAATACTGGCGGACATTGGTGAATCTCTGGATGTTTAGTAGCCTGCGAGCAAGCTCTCTATTTGGGGATATCGTGAAAAGTAGACGCCCGATAGGCACGCTCGTTATAGCGCGTTCTCGGGCGGCTTGCTTCGCTCGCCCAATAGGAGAGCTTGCTCGCACGCTAATACCAGGGGACCTGGGGCCTAGCTCTCACAGTTTTCGTTTTTAATGGCGCGTGGTGATCCATGATACTGCTCAAACTCGCATTGTAGTCGCGTACAAGCATATCCAGCTGAGAAGATGACAAGGGAGTGCCTTGGCCACCATTATATAGGTCTAACAGTGCTAAATCTCCCTTAAGACAGTCCATATCAACCGCCTTCACTTTTCTTTTTTACTTGAAACGCAGGCTTGTTGAAGTTCATGTCACAGTGATCATGAACAGTCGCCTGATCAGAGAAATAACAACAGACCCGTGGTGGACAAGCTATGATATTCTCCATCTTCCGTGTGATGACAAGATCAAGGGTGTGGCCATGGGTGTGGGTCGGCCCTCTCACATGCTGCTCAAGACCGAGTGATTCCAAGAGATCCATAAATTTTACTGTGTAAGCGTCGGTCGGGACATCCATGTGGATATTAAAGCCCCCAAGAATGAGTAGATGATCCTTTGATCGACAAGATGATGGATTCCATGTAGCTGGAGAACTCACTCAAAAAGGTGACCACTGGAACCCTGTGGTTCTCAGAGTGTGGTGGTCTGTAAACTAATTGACAACTCTGATCTTTAGCGAGGATGAAATCCGCACCAGCCATTCACAGTACTCAAAGGATTCCTCTTCACCGTTACGGACCTTAGTCACCCACAGAGAGTCCTTGTAGAGAAGACCAATGCCTCCACCGCAACGCCTTGTACGAGGGTAGTCTATCAGCTTGTAACCGGCTGGACAAAGTTCCACTCTAATTGCATCATCGATCGTTTTTAGCCAAGTCTCTGTGACTGCAACAAGATCGAATGCTTGTCAATTTCCGCCGGCCTGCCATGAAAATCCCTGAACTTCCATGGTGTCTTACGGAGATTACATTCAATAACCCAAGCCAATTCCCAGGCATGTTTTAAATCAGTCTAAATGTGGGATTAAAATAGCATTACGAGAATTTGGAGTTATACCACATGTTAAATATTTCCGTCGAAAATGAGTAACGAAGTTAAGTTTTTGTTATCCTGAAAACCTATCCCTCATTTTTGAATTATTTCAGTACGACGAGCTTCGCTATTGCCCTGAATGTATCTTTTAGTGGAAGAAAAAGAATTTTTCTGTTTATGAAAAGAGTCCAAATTCCTCCATGCGGCTTCGTTTGCGAACGCGAGGAAAGTTAATGTTAGCGAATGTCAGGTAAAAAAATTAGGGCAGTCTGAGACTGCAACATCGAAACCAAATCTTCTAATTTTTCTCACAAATAAAAAGCTTTCGGCAGGAACAATCTACTTTAGGTTTCTTATCTACCTAAAAGCTATCTAGGAACAAAAAATAAAAGAAATTGATTTTTCAACTCTTGCCACGAAATTAAAATTTTGGTCGATTTTTCCTGACCGGCGCTCTCAAGTCAAGACATAAGTCGGATTATTGGAATAATCCAAATTGCCCCTTAAAGAAGCCATAAATTAAAGCGAAAAATACTCAAATAGTAAGGTATTTCATACAATCAAGAAGTTGACTAACATAGTAGCTACATATTAATAATCTTCAACAGTAGCAGTGATGCCTGGAACTGGAACCATACGCCATCTTGGAACTACCATTTTGAATCAATTATATGAATATAGTATAGACATTCATGCATCCCTATAAACTTGCTTAACTGAATAGGCGTACATTACATGAGGCCTTAAATAATTCAATCTGTTACATCAAGGTTATGCATCGATTGATGCGTCTGAAAAAAAGTACAAAAGCATGAAAGCTAGCTTCATAATATGTATCTACCTCATATATATTGAATGAAAAACACTTTACTTCACCTACAGTACATACACACATACATACACACATACACACACACATACATACATACATACATACATACTAACTTTATTCAAGATGTAAACAAGCTTATTTACAGGAAAAATATAATATTAAAAGACATCTTGAAAAGGAACTTGAGAGGTTAGCCCTGTATTAGAACTCCCAAACAGAAATAGAAAATGCTAAATAAAAACATCAAATACAATACGAGCATTCCAAAATCAAGGCCTTAATTAAAGCACTGTTCTAGTTTAAAATTTGTTAAATAGATAATGATGAAGCTTATTTTTAAAAAAGGGGGAAGGCTTTCAGCCTCCACTGTTCTTTGATTGTCTCTTACCTCTTACAACTGATTCTTGTTGTTTATATGTACCAGTAAATGCTATTTTTATTTAATAGGGATCAGAGTTGTAACCAATAGATTCAGAATTGCGCGGGAACTTCGGCTGAGGGAAGATTTTAGTGGCTCACGTGATCGACTGAGGCAGCTGTGTTTTTTGAGTGGACGGATGTCTTTTGAAGT